TGAATTGGATGATATGACAGTGTGAGAAGCACTGCATTATAATAAACAGAGCTCCATCCCAATGCCACGGAGTGCTCAGGGAAGGAGAGAGGTGTGATGGTGGCTGCAGTGACCTGAGAGGACACCCCAAAAGGCCTGGAGTCCTAAAGCATGGGACAGGAGGGCAGATGGACCGGCAGACAGCCCAGAACTGTGGGGGGCAGGCCACTTACAGTGGCTTACAGCAGCTAAGGGAGCAAATGGGGCAGGGCCGAATGGGAGAGAGGCCAGCCTAGTCATGTAGAAACGAGACCAGGACCTGAAGCTTTGCAACAGGGAGAACCTAGAATCAGGCCCCCCACCGGGCAATATCAGGGTCCTGGCCCCATGGGGTTTCTGCGCATTATCAGCATCCAGGGCGACCTCGGCCTGAGCATACCCTCCAGCAGCCCCAGTCTTATCAGGTTGAGTACATTCTCATCACTGGAGAATCCCGTTGCCCATGATGCCAGCTGACAGCACCGCCCAGGCAGCTCACCTTGGGATTCCACCTTGTACCAAGGTGCCGTTCCCCCTCCACTGGCGCCGCAGCCTGCGGCCGCTTTCAGCTTGGCTTTCTACACCAAGAGCAGAAGCTGCATTTCCGGGCGATGGCCCCCAGGAAGGCCTACCCTAGGAGGGGTCCCAGAACCACCCCCAGCCCCAGAACCAAAGCTACTGCCTTCCCCCTCATCACCTCCTACCTGAACAGTCCTTCTCCTCTTCGAAAGGGAACGAGATGGGTGTGGGACTGAGGAAACAAACAGAAACTAGTCCCCAAGCAGAGCACCTTTCTTTCTTCAGGCATCTAACTCTGTCCTTGTTTTCATTTCCATCCTATTGGCAATGGGAGGCCCAAGCCTCGGATTTCAGAGGGCCCCAGGAAAGCCACTCTAGAAGGCTAGCACCTGCCCCTACCAGGCCAGGAGTCTCTTTTGGGATGGCCTGGAGTGAGATTCACAACCCCGATGGTCTTCAACTTAGGTGGTCCACAGATCCCGGAAACTGAGTGCCATATTGTGTGTCTGGATAAAGACTCATGATTTCCAGCAGGTTCTCAGTTAGGCCTCTGATAAAGGTTCAGACCACTGGCCTAAGTCAAGGTCAGAGGCCTGTCTGGTCTGCCCGGGACTAAGGAAAGGAAGCAGTGCAGGCAGGGTGGTGTGGCTCACCACAGCATCACTGTTCTCTGACAGCCCGCTGGAGCTTCTCACCTCCACAGGTGACCGGCTGTAAAATTTGTGTCTGACACGGTGACAGGCAATGGGATTCCCATTTGTCTAGGTGTAAAAACTGAGGCTCAGACAAGACTCATAACCTAAGCAGGGCCCCATAGCAGACAGGGCTGAGGAGATGATGTGAGGAGGACAATGGCAGTGCCTAGGGCCAGGTGTCAGCCCAGGAAGTCAGTTTTAGGCCACCCCTGGGACCTACCAGGCCATTGGTCTAGTTTCCATGATTTTGGAGCCCAGCTGTTTCTGCCTCAAGGAAAGGACCCTTTAGGGTCTTCCCTTCCCCCTTCCCTTCCTCCTACCCTCCCTTCCCCCTTTCTCCCCTTTCCCCCTTGCCCCTCCCCTTCCCCCTTCCCTTCCCTTCCTCAGAGCTTCAGAAGACACAGGCTAGCAGAGGGAAGGGGCAGAGTGATGAGAAGGGCCAAGCTTGCCTGCCTCCACTCTCAAAGCCAAGATAAAGTTTGGTTCATACAAGTAGCCCCATAACTGACATCCCACATAAGGACTTCCCTGTCAGCTCCATGTCCACCCACACATTCCCCAGACACCTGCTCAGACACCTAGATATACATATACCAGGCCTATACTCCCCAACCCCCTCAAAGCCTGACTAGCTTCTGGGAATAAAACCAGGTACATCTTCACATGAGATCCCCAATCCCTTTCTCTCCTCTTGGAAAAACAAGATCATGCAGATACTATGTTTTATTTGTTCTAGGGTCCCACTGCCAAGCCCAACTTCCAGGACATGGCTCATGTGGAAGGGAGGACCCACCCAGCAACCAAGAGCCTAACCAACCTTGGGTGGGAGCCTGGAGACAACGCTCTGAGGGGCTGTGTGTCCTGGCCTATCCCTTGTCAAACCTTAAATACAAGTTTCAAAAGGCAACAGGGGAGGGGAAGGGGAGGGAAAGGGAAGCCAGACAAGCCCAAAGAGCCGGGAGGTGCCATGGGAGTAGCCAGGGCATGGTGTGTGTGGGGTGAGTGGGTGAGGAGAAACAGAGGCCACCAAGTAAAGTCTATCATTGGATATGGCCAATAAATATGTGGGTCCCTCAGAGCACAGCCCATTCCAGCCCTTAGAAAAGGCACCAACCTTCTTCCACTAGGAACAGGAAATGTTGGAAGCAGTCCTTGCCAGCAAACTCTGAACGCAAAACCACAAACTCAATCTATCATGGTTTGCTAGCAATTCTTTATTAAACCAATTCTGCTGGATCAATGCATCCTGCCCATCAAAATGATGAATAAATCCTCAACTGGTCTGAGCAATGCTTGCAGAAGCTCTTGTGAAGCCTGAGCTGGACAATGGGATTGGCTCCATATGAGAGGTCCAAGGCCAGTGGCTGAAACTTGGGGGACTGAGGCTTGGGGCACTGGGTTGGGGTGAGGAGTGGGTGAGGCTGAGTTGAGTAATGGAGTTTCTAAGCTTAAAAGACTAAGCTAGGTCTTTGCCTCTTAGACCTTCTGAAAATGACATCCTCTGTTCTGGCCCAGGAGAAGCATGACCACTGCCCCTCCAGAAGCTCACATAGATGGTCTTTCTTGGATTTCTATCCTCACACTCCACCCAGCACTAGACAACTACCAGGCTGCACACAGTGGATGTGTTCTTCCAGCTACCAGTCCCTGTTGCTTGTTAGACATATCAAAATTCAAAGCTCAGTCTAACCTTTTTCCATTGTCCATTTCTCAATCTCGCTGCATCCACCCATCCCTCACCCCATCAACCGCCCCCTTCACCAAGTCCCAGGCAGCCTGCAGTTAGTGGAAAATTCAGGAGACTATGGATAAAAATGCCAAGATGGGCAGAGAAAGATCAGGAAGGTGGGGAGGTTCTCACTGATGCAATCAACCCAATCCTAGTTCTTCACCATCCAGGGTAAGGGGAGATTAGGAAGGCACAGCCCAGTGCCCAGAAGGTACTCAATCAATGCCTATTGTTGATGGGGGCCAGGAGTCCCCACCTCTCATTGGATGTAAATGGGGTTGGTCCCTCACAGTCCCAGACCCCAGGATGGTGATAAGAAGCCTGAACAGAGGCTTTCAGACAACAAAGATGGGGGGGGGGTTGGAGCTGAGCAAAGGAAGGGGGGCCCCTCAACAACCTCAACTGGTTTATACTGGCACAGCCTACCTGTCACCACCACCAGGGAGTTTAGAGGAAAGAGGAGAAACCCAGGACATCCAGGGGGTTGCAGGAGACACAGCTACTGCCTCCTTCACACCCTAGCTCAGGCTGGGGTCCTCAGGTCCCCGTAATGACCAGGGGGGAAGCCACACTTTACGATCCTGGCACTGAGAACCAGCCACGGTTCCTGATAGGAGGGTCCCACACTTGTTAATGTAATGTGAAGACCTCCTAGGAATGGGAATCTTGGATATTAGGGTTAGGAAGAACAGTCCCTCAAAAAACAAACAAACAAACAAAAAACAACAGATAAGAAAAAAAAAGATAGGAGAGGGCACTTTGGTCACCAGCTATTTTAAGCCATGGAGTGTTGCCTGACTGGTCATTCCCGGCACAAGAAATCTCTCTCATTGGGTGGAAATGGCTTTGTTCTCATAACAAACCTAGCCTCCCTGGACTTTGCAAAGAGGGCTCTGGGTTCACAAAACGCTAATTTATATTGGCAGACAAACAGGATAGGCAAGTAAGAGAGCTCAATATGGGGCAGGACCCAGAGAGAGAGAATGAATTAAACTCAGCTCAAAAGGGTGACCATTTTTTCAAACCCTCACTTCAACCCTGTGTATCAAGAAAGCCCAGGGGAACACTGGGAGACTCAAGACCTTGACCGAGGTAGGGGCATCCCTGATGTTAACTTCAGAGGCACTTATCTCTCTTTTTACACAGAGACCCCCACCAGCCTGGAGTGGTATCTGCTATGCAGTGGCATCTGACTCAGGTGATGGGGGAGGGGTGGGGTCCCTCTCCTTGACTGGCAGTCACATGGTTTGTTTGGGGACCCACAGCTGACCCATGAGAGACCTAGCTGGAGCTTGGGCCACTGGGGTGAGTATGGTACACTGGATGAACTTGGGGGTCACAGGACAGCTGCTCATCAGACAGGGTATGGGGCATCTTCACTGACTGTTGTGAGCAAGGTCATCCTGTCCTGTCAGTCTGGATACCAGCTAACCAGAGTATCTACTCCTGGCCTACTACTTGGCATGAGGGGCTGGGTCCAGAGTTAAGGTAGGTGCAGAGGACTTTCATCCTGGGCATGAGGCCCCAGTGACCTCAGTCCTTCAGAAGCCCAGCTCCCCCTCCCCAGCTGCAGCTTCCCAGGGCACCAGAAGGCAGATATTAACAGCTAAGGGTCAGCACCCAAGGAGCCGGCCCAGCTGCCAAGAGGTCTGTCTCCCTTTATGGCCCTGCTCTACACGCTGAATGACCTGAACTGTCTCTAGGATGGCCACTATGATTCTACGGCCCAGAAGGGACAGGTTCCATGTGTGGCTTAAGGTGGCAAGGCTAGGCCAGGTTCAGAACACCTTTTCAGCCTGCCTCTAATGTGGTCCAGACCTCAAGAGGCCGAGGTCTGCAGTCCAGAACACAGGAAAGTTCCCTGCACGGTGCTAGAGGAGGTCTGGGGGTGTCTTGGAGCCTAAAGGCGCCCCACTTCTCTTGGAGCTCCTAGTGTGAGGAAGGAAAGTAAGTTAACTCCGGTTGAGAGGCAGGACACAGAGAGGCAGCTTGTCTGTGACCGATCAGGGCACCCACAGGATCACCACCGGCCCCCTTACCTGAAGTCACTGTAGGGGTGGATAATCCAAAACCCAGCCGACTTAACCCTCTCCTGCTCCCGCTCCACGGCTTTCTGGCTGCCAAACATCCTCAGGGAGAATTTGTTGACCCCGGGCTGGAGCATGGCCCCGAACTGGCGCTGCATAAAGCCAGCCTGGCCCAGGCGCACCTCGGCCTCGGGGAGGATCTGGTCCCCGGCCGCCGCGCCTCCCTCCACTTTGATAGCGGCGTCCACCGAAGGTTGCTCACAGGAGGCGGAGGTCGACTGCGGTGACTGCTGGAGTGGCGGAGGAGAGGCTGCGGGCTGCGCCGAGGGGCAGGGGCGCTCGGGCTCGCCCGCCAGGCCTGGGGGCGTCCTGTCCTCGCCGGGGGATGCGTCGCCCTCAGCAATGAGCCGCCGCTCCTCCGCGGAGTCATGCAGGTGCCCGTGACTGCTGCCGCCACCCGCTCCGCCGCCGCCCCGGCTGCCCAGCGAGGCCAGGCTTCCGCGGATGCGCCTACAGTCGCCGTTCGTGCTGGACTTGCCCGCGCCACGGGCGGGCCCCTCGCCGTCTGCCGCCCCGAGGGCCGCGCCCCTGGACTCCGTGCCGCCCGCGGCCACCGAGGGCGAGGGCGAGGGTGAGGGCAGCGGCCGCAGCCGGATGCTCCTGCGGCTGGGGTCCTGGCGGCCCCCAGCTCCCTCCTCCTCGGCGTCCTCTTCCTCGTCCATTATCCACGCCTTGGCCCCCACCTGCTGCGGAAGGCTGTAGAGCCGCTTGCGCATGGACGGCGGCAGCTTGTCCATGGTGCCAGGGGCGGGTGCCGGGCTGGGTGCACCGGCGCGGGTGAGGCACCGCGGACTGGCTCCAGGTTCGCCCGCTGGTCAGTCTGCCAGCGGGGACGCGTCTTCGCCGCCGGCCGCCTCAGGCACCCATGCTCAGGCAGGGTGCGTGCCGCGGGAGGCTCCAGTCCGGCTCCGGATGCCCGGGCTGACCGCGCTGCGCCTCCTCCCGGGCCGGGCGCGGGGACCCCGCTCTGCCTCCCTTCCTCCCTCCTGCGTTCAGGGGCGCGGCGCAGGGCCTGGCTCCAGGCGCCCCGCCCCCGCGGGGAACAATGGGCTCCGGGAGAAGAGGCGCCTGGCCGCGGCGTCTGGAAAACCGCTCAGGAGCGCAGAGCGCACGGCCAGCGCGCCTCTCCGGCGTGTGTCCCGCGGACAGGCGGGCTGTCCGTCTGTCCCGCCGCCAGGGCTTTATGGCCAGCTACTCGCGAGCTTGCCTCGCCTCCTCTGGTCGAGCCCGACCGGCCCGTCCCAGGGCTCCCGCCGCAACCAAGCGGAGCCCAGCCGTCCACCCGGCTTACATCAGCGGCCACCTCCCCCAGAGCGCCCTCCGGCAACGCTCGGCTCCCGCGCCCGGGAATATTCATGAAGTCGCCGCAGCTCGCGGGTTGCCATAGGAGCGGCTCCCGCAGCCCGGCCTGCCTACCTGGGCTTCTTAAAGGAGCAGCGACGCCGTTCGGGGCTTGAGAGGTGGGCGGGGGGCGAGGGGCGGATCTGGAGGGGGGCTCAAGGTGCACCGTCGCCCTACCTTAGGGGCGGGGGTGAGAAGTGCCCTTAATTCTAAACCCTCGGCCAAGGCTGGAAGCGCACCCCAAGTCTAGGGTTCCTGTTGGAGTTGCCAATTCCTCCACCCCATGATTGAGGGGCGGGATTTCCCGGTCTTTCCTCCGAGCTTTGGGTTCGCTTTTCCCGGGCGGCTTTGCTTCTCAGCTGGGTCTGAGACCCTCCTCCGGGGAGGCGGACTAGTGGTCTGGATTCGGAGCCCCGGGCTTTCCCGCAACGCTCCTGGAGAGGGGGTTTCCGGGAAATGCGCTGCGTGGGGCTGTTCCCGGGTTTTTTCTGCGAGAGGAAGGGGGCGATACCCCTGCAGGTCTTTCCTCTGCTGAGCTTTGCAGCAGCTGGGCAAGGAGGGCGTGGGGAAAATTGCAGGACCCACGCACAGGACGCGCGGGTGAGACCCAGCCCTTCGAGGTAAGATTTCGAGGAAATGTGCCTGCAGTAGCCACCGCCTCGGAGTCCAATACCCGCCCTCACTTCTCCCGGGGTGGTTCCAATGCGGGTTTGTGAGACCAGGGGCTGCTAGCCCTCTGGAGCTAGCTTTGCACTTCCTTCTCCCTGGGTTCTCATCCAGATTATGATACACCTCTGTGGACTAGCGGTAGGGGTGTTCCTGCCCCTCTCAGGCCCCTGCCCAGCAGCAGCAGCAGCAGCAGCAGCAGCAGCAGCAGCAGCACACTGCCCCATTCCCTTGGAGTCTGCGCTGCACTCCAAACCCCAGGCCAACTGGCGGTCTTCTCTTTGTCCATGTACATAATACAGGTCTACTCCTCTCTAACACCCTGACTGAGTCTGACACTTCCCATCCACACAGGCCAGGCTACCAGACCCCTTTTTCCCTGGCCTGGGGGTCACCAAGATGGAGATGGAGCATCAGAGGGAAGGGGTTGGCCAGGGAAGATTGGAGTTTGGATTAATGCTGACATGGGTCTTCAGCAAAGTCTGACAGGAAGTAGGCAGGAAGATCCCCTAGCTCTGCCATCTCTCTGAGGAATAACGAAGTTTTTTTCAAGGATTTTTAAAATTCTCATTCTTAGCCCACTTGTGACCACCACCCACACCCCATTCAGAGAAGAAAATTTAAAAGCAAGATAGAGGGGGTGGGTAGCCTGACAGGGGCTTTTCTGCTCTAGCCACTGGACCACAAGACCTCCTATAAGAAAGGGAACAACTAGGTTGATGATATCACCGCTAACTGGCATTTCGACTTTTGAGCAGCTCTGAGTTGACAGTTCTCTGCACAGATGCTGGGAGGCCTAATCCCTGCACGTCCTTGAGTCTCCTTGAAAGGAGTATTCTTAACTGGCTGTGAGCCCAGCCTGCCCTGGTATGCCAGGTACATGGGAAGACTTTCATTTAACTCACTTCTGTGGGCTTCTGTGTCCAGTGAGGAGCTAGTCTGCCCTACTCCAGCTTCAGAAAATCAGCCCACACAGGTTTCCTAGTTACCCATGGTAAGGGGATCTCCTTCTTAAGGAACCCTCTCCTGGCTTCCAAAATCTTGATCATGTCCTCACTTTTGGCCCCTGTGTTTCATGAGCTCCTGTCAACCTGAGCACTTATTACACAGCACAGTCTGTGTGCCCTTCACAACTGAGCTCCCTGAGGATATGACAGTTCCGACTCATCTCAGGGACCTCAACACTAACACAAGGGTGGACAGAGAGCCGATCAATAAATGTCAACTCTATGCATGTGAAGAGGGGCCCTGGAAGTTAGCTAATGCCATTGAACGGGATTCTTGAAGGAGATAGAGGATATGATCAAGGTTCTGCTGCCACAGGCTGATCAGGGATCAGGGCCCCTTAACTCCTCCTCCTCTAGCTCCTCACCTACCCTCAGTTTGGTCAGCACCACCCATTCAGGACCATCTAGAACCACCTTTGGGTGCAGAAATGACCACTAGATAAAAGAGGCATGCAGTAACCCCTGATGAAACCTGGCCTCCCCGTGTCTCCTCTATGTGAAAACCCTCATGGAGGACATGGCATGCCAGCAGTTTGAGGAACAGGCAGGGAGAAGACCCAAGTCTTTCCCTGAAGGACTCTAAACTGTGGGAAATCTAAACATCTAGACTAAGGAAAGAGGAGAAAGTTCAAGACAGGAAAGAAGTGTAGACTAAATCATGCCTTACCCTATGAGAGATTTGAGGAGGACTTTGCTGAGCTTAGGGTAGCTAGGGAGGACTTCCTAGAAGAAGATGTCGTATTTGGTGAGAGACATGTATCCAACACATCATTTGTTAAACTTCATGAAATTTTGTGAGCCAAGTATGGTCACATTTTTACAATTTCTCATGGCTCAACCTAACATGCTTACTCCCATTTATAAGCAAGAGAACCAAAGCATAGAGAGATTAAGTAATTTGCCAAATGTCCCACAGCAAGAAAATGGCAGAGCTGGAACTTCAACCAAAGGCTCCCCAGGCCATGTTCTCCTCTGCTGCCCAGCTGACTCACCTAGATGGGGTGGGGGTCAGCACAGGTGAGGGAGGAGAGGCAGCTCAGAGTCTGGCATGGCTAAAGCAGATAGAAGGCAGAGAATGGAGCCTTCCTATTCTGTGTTCTCCCTCTTGCCCCAGCCAGGTCTCATGTCCTCTCCTTTCCAGTACTGCTGAAGGAGCCTGGGGTCTGCTCTGGTTTGTCTGGTAACATGAGAGACAGGCCCTGGGGACCCCAGCAAGAGGAAGGCTTTACCTCTGAACTGACATAGAGAGAGACTTGTGGCTCTCAGTTTTGAGTACCTCCAGGAGAGAGATATGTGTCCTGCTGCAGAGGTTCTGCATGTGCTTGGAATGCAAACCCAGAAAAGATATGGGTCTAAGAGAGAAGGGCTGGGGAGGAGGGGCTTTCTTTCCTGGAAGTGAGATTCAGAAGACCTGTTGGTAGTGTCGTGGGTATGTGGCTGATTATCATATATCAACCTTAGACTTTATTTAGTGGGAACCTGGATGGGCAGAAGGGGGTGGGAAATTCTAGAAATATTTTTGCTTGTGGGCCATTGGAATTGTTCTTGCTTAAAGGGGCAGCTTCATGTAATGCCAAGGTTTGGGCTTAAAATTTTAACAAGGGGGAGGGGAGGGAGAGAGCGAGCAGTATAGGATATTTTAGGGTTAACATTATATCCTTGTTGGATTTTCTTTGTTAAAGCACCATTTTATGAAATACTGCTAGGAGATGGCATTTTTTTAGGTCCTTGGCTAAATAAAGAGTTGGTGTACAATTCTGTGTTTGTTTACAAAAATCATTTATTTATTGATCTGACAGAGAGAGAGAGAGATGCATCGATTTGTTGTTCTACTTATTTATGCATTCAATGTTTGTTTCTTGCATGTGCCCTGACCAGGGATCACACCTGCAACCTTGGTGTAGCCCAAAAATTATTTTTGAAATGGTATTGGTCTGTGAATCCAAAAGTCTGAGCGCCCCTGCTGTAAACAATAGAACATGAAACAGGCAAACAAAAGCTCTAGAATTAAGTATTTCTCTGTCATGTGCTGCCTGTGTGTGCCTCAGTCTTTCTCAGGTATAAACTGGGTCCGATGATATGTACTTCATAATGTAAAGACCAACTGAGAAAATGAATGCACTGAGCTGGGCTTCTCATTTGCAGTAAGTTCTCAACAAACACTGGATGATGGAAGATTGAATGAAACCTGCATTGGCCAGTGGAGGGGGAAACATTTCAAATCTGATTAATGTCATATGTTCATCTTAAAAATTGCTCTTGAGACAAAAGGGATGTCTTGCTATACAGAATTGATTTCTGTGAATTCTCCACCCCTGCTAAGCTCTGGCCCGGTCTCCTCCAGAAGGCAGATTTTCTTCTTTCTGGGATAGGCACTTGCCTAGGTGGGATCAGAGGGAACTGACTCAGAGGTCACATCCTTTACCCTGTGTTTAGATCCCCCCCCCCCCCATACACAGGTACAACCTTGTCTTTCTGTTTAGTGTAGATATGGTCCTCCCAGGGCACCTTCCGCTCTGCTCAGAGGCAGGTTTGCTCTGTGGAGTCCTGACCTGGGGACTAGGCCCCTGAGAAGGAACACTGGAAGCTGCTACATTCCCTTCAGCTTTTTGTCCCAAGGTTTCCTGATGGAGAAGCCGGAGGGGAAGGAAGAGGCACATGGGGAGCAAGCCTTACTAGGTACGGATGTATGGAGAGAACAAGTCAACCACCTCATCTTGACCACGCCCTTGAATGCCCTTCCTTGAGCATAGCCACACATGGATGGATAGAAACAGATGCCATTCTAGAGGTTTGTAATCAAAGGTCAGAGTAAGTGCTTCAGAAGCTCAGAGCAGTGGTGTTCCTGAGTATGATCAAGGTAGGCTTCCTGGAGGAAATAAAAAGTGAACTAGGTTTTCTAGGAAGTAGTGTGTGTGTGTGTGTGTGTGTGTGTGTGTGTGTGTATGTGTGTTTCTCGTGGGAGAAACAGTGAGTGGAGCAGCCTGGCAGGAGTGAGGCTTGCTGCATTCTCTCAGTGGAGTCAATGAGGCATTGTCGGAGGATAAGGCTGGGGTAAAGGTCCACCTCAGGGGCCCACTAGCTGTTGCCCCAAGCTGGCCTTAGGAGAAAGTCTGCTGTCTCCACAGAAGGAAGGTATTGGGCCCTTCCGATCCCCTTCTCCCAATACCCTTACCCCCAGACTCTGGCTGTAAATACCACTGGGAGCCCGCATGCCCACGCTCCCCCAGTGACGTGAGGGCACTAGTGAAAGGAAGCTCCCAGTGGCTCAGTTTCCAGTTGGGTTTGCCACCTGCTTTTTCCTCAGTTCTGCCTGGTTTCTTTAGGATCTGGGAGTGTGAGCTATTGGATTGTCCTTTCTTTACCGCCTGCCTTTTTGCAGGACCCCACCTGTGAGTGCTTAGAGCCCAGCAGAGCCCAGAGCCCTTTCATCTCTGGGCCAGCCCTGGCTCCATTCTTCTTGATCTCTTCACACTCCCCGTCCTGCACTCCCAGCTGTTCCCTCAGGACTCTGCCAGGGCAATGACTGGGACATCATGCCCCTCTCCTCCCGGGAAGGCAGAAGAAAGATGTGCTGACAGCTCAGCAAGGCCTGGACTATGTCTCTGTGTCCTGCTGGGGCTCCAGGATGTCTGGGCCACCTGGACTTGGAGCCAGGCTACAGTGAGGCACTAGGGT